TCAATTGGCGAAATTCCAGAGGACGCATTGGCGAAAGCCCACTGTACTTTCGCCAACTGTCACGAAATAATATTAACATAGAATATATGTGAGCCTAATTCACAATATCATTGGCGAAATTCCAGGGGGCCTTTTGGCGAAAGTACAGTGGAGTTTCTCCACTGGCGAAAGTGCTATTTGATGAAAGTCTTATTGGCGAAGATCCGGAATCCCAGTCAAAGTCTTCGTAAATGACAAGAAGGCATTCTATTCGACTCAGTTTTTTGTACTGTCCAGAATCTGATATTATTATCCTACAATGACCGAGTTTTAGTGAAGAAAACCTCATATTTTTGGCAATCTCCATGCCTTGGGAGTCCTGCAGCGTATTTTTCTCCAAAGAAGAAATATTTCGAAAAAGCAAAGCTATGCCTTTGTAGCGCAATATTTGACAGTTCTAATGATATATAACATTCAGCGATATCTCTGGATTGAAAAAAGTAGATAGCTTTGCAAAAACATCAACGAACGTCCTAATTTCTTACTTTTTGCTACTTTTAGGGTCATGCATCATATGAACATATTGTTATCGAACAGCATTAGAAATAAGTGTCATAAACGCAGTTTTTCGTGAGGAATCCCAATACATTACTTGTACAATGTCAAGAGGATAAAAAAAATTATTGAAAAAACTTCAAAATCCACTGACTTTTTAGAAAAAAATGAGCCGTGCAAGACTATCGAAAAAAATAGAACTTTTCTTATCGATTGCCTTTTAATGAAAAACTAAACTTATATTCTTACTCAGCTCTTCGAGCTCTATCCAACCATATATAAAAAACTAAAAAAAAATTTGCTAAAATTTTGCATTGCTAGTACCTTACAAAATAAAAAATTAATAAAATAGCATTAACAATAACTTAAAATATTTTTATATTGATCAAGAGGTACATATAAGACCACAATATAACTTAAAATTTATGAATTCATTGCTATTACCTACCTGAGTGTACATAGTCATGTGACTATGTACACTCGAGTGTTCATAGCCACTTCCTTAAAAGAAATGTAAGTGAAGACTACACATATGAATCGAAAACTAACTAAAAAATCTATGATAGACTTCTATTTTATTGTCAATATATTGATGTTCATCATCCAGAAGTAGATCTGCAACAACAACGGTAACCAGGGCGATTACTACAGACACCACGATTGCTTAGATAAAAATTACCAGCTAGACTGGTATAAGTACCGTAAGAATTAACACAATTATTTGTAGTAGACCAAGCAAGTTTACAAGTATAAGTAACACCACCAAGAGCAGTAGCTGCGTCATTAGCATAATTATAAAGAGGATCTTGAGCACCAGAAGCACCACTCGTAAGACTACCAGTACAAAATTGAGAACAAGAATAATAACCTACACTATCATCAAGGACACCTTGAGTTTCATTAGTGTATTTATTACGAACATTAACAGTACATTCACCACACGTCGTTGTGGCTGCAATAAAAACAAGAAAAAACATTATATAGAATCAGTGGC